TTAAAAATGTATCCAACACGCAAAAAGAGTTTCGAAATAGATCGATATATTATTTTTCTATTTTAGCAAAAAATCATCGGCAGATAATAATCTATATGGAGAGTATAAAAGCCTACTTTCACGTAAGAGAAGAAACATATTTACAATATAATTCAAAAATACATTTTTGTCTCTCGTAATCAAGATTTTCAATATTTTAGATATGATCGTTGAAATGATACTCCTGGAAGATGCGGATTTATACGCAGTTATTTGCTATTTAAAGATATCTGAAAACTGTCGATATTTAAGTAAAATATGGGTACCGCAATCGATAAGAAGCAATTTTTTATTCCTTAGAAATAAATATTTCACGAGTCTCAGTAGTGCCATTCGCATATTTAAATCTAAGCAAGAGTTACTTACACCTCCTACATTTTATAAAGTAAACGTAACGTCCGTTTGGTCCGAAGATATGACGGCTGCGAGAAATTTAGCAACATCCTTAGATGTATGTTCCATTTAAATTGTACAGCACAGTATCATCAAATTGTTTCAAACGATATTAACGATATCTTCTTTTTTTTTTTAATAGAGAAATATTATACTCATCAATACGTTGGATTTCTACGAAAGCATGACGACGATGCCTCACGTAGAAATATTCAAAATTTCGCTGCACAGACATCTCGAGTTAGATGAAAATCAACATATAATAAACACGATAAAGCCTGTATATAAACCGGGCAAGGAATACCCTGACGTACCTAAAAACCGTCACAGTCTTCTGTTTTACGACGGTACATGGCAAACGCCTGTGGAAGGCATGTATTGGCCAAATAAGGACGTACTCACGGCGAAAGCAACAAGGTACAAATTCGCACAACTCGTCTAATTTTAACCGTCGATAAATCTTGAACTTCCGAACACGTTAACAACGAATTTCAATAACAATTATATATATCCGTAATAGATTTCTTATTTATAATATTATTCTAGCGACGACATTGGCAGATGCGTTGTATCAGCTAGGAAAGGGTTCGAAACCTGGAGTAAGTGGTCCACTGAAGCCAGAATGAAAGTGTTATCCAAGTTCTCGTCCGCATTGAAATACAATGGGTATGTCCGGCTATCCAGTGAGCAAAAACTGTCGCGGTAGGACAACGGATTGGCAGCAGATTTACTCAGATATTGCAACACAGATCCGGTGTCACCTGTGCGTTAAACTTGTGTGTTTTGCCAGCACAGCCTGCCGATATAATCTGATGATAGAGCATTGACAGAAATCAAACAGAGATTTTGTTACTTTATAAACATTTAAATAGTTACAAAACGGCAGACTCCGCTCAGTTTCTGCCATTATATTTTGTTGGCAAGTTCTGTTACATTCTTCTGCTGGCATTCCGTTGACAAGAATTTGCAGCGGACACTTTCAAAATCTTTTCTCGACAGATTTGGCTATATTCTCGTAATACTCGGTACAAATTTGATCTCTTCTCTCTTTTCAGTAAAGTCGAATTGTCAAAAATAGTACACAAATGGACAACGTTCCCACGTCTGTACAAGGATTCATTGATCCCTCAATATCCGCCGCTGTGGGTGACGATCATAAGAATCCGCAAGCCGAAGGGCGTTATCACGCTCATGGAGCAGAATGAAACGGATCTGTTTCGCAAATTGGCGCAGAGCTTGATCATCGGCAATTCCGTCATCGTGATATGTAGCAAACAGTCGTGCGATCTGGCGCCGTACTGCGACATGTTTTCGACATCCGGGATACCTCCGGGCGTGATAAATCTGTTGTCGTTCGAAAACGTCAAGTCCCTGAGCGAGGGTTACAACGCGTCCGAGCCGAGTGATGTATATCGCCAGTTTACCGTGAGCAAGCAAATTGGAATCGTCATCTACTAGAAATTTCAACGATGACGTTCAATGATGAGGCTGCGAAAAAAACACTGACCAGACGCGCAAGGTGTAAATGGATTTTTAAATTGCGATTTTATACGAAAAGACGAACTCTGTCGTTCACCAGTCGATTTGCCAAAATAAAGGTTTATGATTAAGTAATCTTGTGGACATTTCTGATCAACTGTTGCGAAAGAATTAAGAAAATATGCGTCATTCGATCATTGGTTAGAGGCACGTCGTAATTATTATATACGTCATTCACGCTCTAATTTCACGTTTGATAGCTCACGCGCGTTACGGAAAAATGTTTCTCTTGCCCTCACACGGATTTCCAATCCTTCGCGACATTCGGAAACACTTAAAAACATCGAACCTGTCGAACTGTCAACCTCAGCTTGCATGGAAGCGCCTTGAACCTAACCTAACTTAACTTAACCTAACCTAACCTAATCTGTGCCATGGAAATTCGAAAACTTTAGGCCCTGCGCACAATTTGGAGCATATTAAAATAAAAATATATATTAGGATATATAAATATATAGGAATAATTATGTAATAAGTATGAAATATTAAGATATATAAATTTAAAAATATTCCTATATATTTATGTCTTTACAATTAAATGTTGAACAGAGAAAGAAGAGGAATTGAAGATGCAGAAAGTTCAGCTACGGAGAATAAATTTCTTATGAATATAAGATCTCTTTAATTTCTTAACTTTTCATCTCCGATGTCTATTTATATTAGAATTATACATCTATCTCATTTTAAACGCAAAGTATGCTGCAAAGAATGGATCTAAAGCCGATCGCGCACGATGCAATTTTTATAGCGCAACTCGCGCGCCATTGGCTCGGGATAATAAGCGACAGGCTCTCGTCGACCAATCACGGTCAAGAGCTCCAAAACCGGCAGCTCCACATTTCGAAGTTTCCGGAGTTCGTGACCTCTATGATTGGCGGATTCCGCTTGCCGCTCGCGCGTTTGTCCGTTCATGAGGATAGGCCTTTTTCATTGTCTCCCCCAACGATGGAGGCTCTCGGTTTGAGTTTACTCGGAATACTCGGATCTGCTCGCCCGCCGTTCCTCGTGTGCGCCGAGTAAATTCCACGTCCGGGGACGTCAATTTCCCTTTTTCTTCCCTTCCCGTTTTTGCGCTGGATTCCGCTACCCTCGCGCGAGTCGCCGGCTGATGATACGAAACGGTAAATACGGTCGAGAGTAACGTCTGTCGCTTTGGTGCCGCACACCGGTAACGCCCTGTCTTTAACCCGCAGGTATTAGTCACTCGATGGAACTGGCGATATGACGGCTATCTAAACAAGTGTGCCAAAGAGAGAGAGAGAGGGGGAGAAAGAGAGAGTGAAAAAGATAAAATATTCTTTTGAACGGGATAATACGTCAAGATGGACAGCAAGGGGAGGAAGATCATCGTCTGCGACAATGGCACCGGGGTAAGGCCGCTCGTTTCCCTCACGAGAGGCATGCAGCCTCTGCGAGGGTCTCGCTGCACCGATTGCGAGAGAATGTAACCGAGCTAGAGCTATATTATTATCGAGGCGGACGGTTCGCGTACTCCCGGCACTGACGCAGCTTTTGATTGCAGTTTGTCAAGTGCGGATACGCCGGCGCCAACTTCCCTGCCTTTATATTTCCGTCTATAGTCGGACGACCGATAATCAGAGCTGTCAACAAGATCGGCGACATCGACGTGAAGGTACGTAGGTTCATTGACTCAAACTCGTGCGAGCTTAAAGACACAGGGCCAGTAATTACGATTTTGTTGTCGTACTTGAGTGTCTTATTGTTAAGTAGTTGATGTTCGATTTACGGAAACATCACCATTTGATACTTCATCGTTAAATGTTCAATTTGTCACAAAAGTTAACGGTATATATAAAGCAAATGATACAACAGTTGTATTTATAAATGAAAGGCGAATCTCGATTTCTACTGTAATCGATTTATGGAACCGTACGAAAGATGAGAGGTTTATATCTCGAAATTTAATGAAAAGAACCGTGAAAGATTTAATATTTTATTGATCAAGTTGCATATAAAGTCTATGTGATCTTCGGAGCTCGGAGCTTTAAATTGTTTGAGCGTGTTTAGCAGTACTCAGACGATTAATAAGAATAATTATATTTTCAGCAAGAATATTGCGTTCGTGTAAGTCCATTATATAGTATTACGTCGTGTGCTCTCCCTGCCCCCCTCTTAAGCGCTTAAGTCCAACTGAAAATAATCTACGTGCTTGTCCACTGATGTTGAATAAAACAGTTTGAGAGACTGGTGGCGTTTTAACTAACAAAAGAGAATATTTGTTTGAAATGTAAGATGACCATTACTCATAGCATTTTGATATTTAATCGTTTGATGAGTTTATTAACAATTTTTTGAAGCTGCAATGTTATCATTAAGTGAGTGATTTTATATTACGTGTGAGAAAATTCATTCATTGTATTGGATGCCATGTTTTTCTTGCGAGAGATCTTGAAAATTCTCTAGTGACATAAATGTTGTGTCTGCTTTGACGAAGCGAAAAGATATTGGGTGCGTTCAGCCGATACTCCGCTAGCCTAGCAATCGTGAGCAGTCGCTCGTTTTTGCTCGTTTCCTCTCTTTTGACCCAATGGATTAAAAGGAGAGGAAACGAGCGACTGCTCACGATTGCTAGGCTAGCGGAGTATCGGCTGAACGCACCCATTGCCTTTGCTAATACATTTATCGTAACAATATCGTTTATTACAATTTTTATACTTGTACGGGTACTTACATACATATTATACTCTTCCTATGATTATCTAATGTATTTGTGTGCTTACATTTGCTCTCGTAGGATGTGCTTAACATGCCTGTAAGTTTATTGTACTTTTTTGATGCTATATACATCAGTGTTTTAACGAGGAAGAATGTTTTTCCGACCGTAGGCGTGGAAGTAGTACGATGTAGTTCGGCAAACTTTTTCCAAAGGACTTAGGTATACACACGTTTGGAAACTGATTTGATATAAAATACTTTCCTGACATGAGTTCCTGTAACCAGAGTCTCACAGAAGTAATATATTACGATTATACTGTGAACCATGAGATTCTGTGAAAACATTAGCTAGTTCTTGGTATATAAAAAATAATCGGAAATGTTTATTTTTTTAAATATCTGTTATGAAATCTGATAGAGCAAAATTTTACATATCAGGAATTATTTTAATTTTCTTCCTATCATATGTAATGAAAGCAGATTTATCGCACACACTTTGGATATTTAGCTAGCCAGTGTAGTTTAAATACTTAGAATTTTTGTACTACAGATATATTTACTGACTGTGTACAAAATTGTAATGTTGTCTTCGTAAAATGAATATAATTATATCTAGGTGATGCACGCAGAGTTTCGATAATCATATATTATTGTCACGCAGGACTTAATGGTTGGCGATGAAGCGAGTAAACTTCGTTCTATGTTAGAGATAAGTTACCCAATGCAAAATGGGATTGTCAGGTATGTACATATCTTGTATCGGCTACTTGTACTTGACATAAATCACTGCAATAACATTCGACACTTGATAGAAACTGGGAAGACATGTGTCACGTGTGGGACTACACGTTCGGCAAGGAGAAGATGAACATTAATCCTAAGGAATGTAAAATTCTGTTAACCGAACCACCGATGAATCCCATCACGAATAGAGAAAAGATGATAGAGGTAATACGTTGCACAATCCGGTAAAAGTTAAGTTAAACTCATACGAATTGAAAACCTTAATGAACACGATGTTATTTTAAGGTGATGTTTGAGAAGTACGGTTTCGCTGGGACGTACATCGCGATTCAGGCAGTATTGACGTTATACGCTCAGGGCTTGATCAGCGGCGTCGTTGTGGATTCCGGCGACGGTGTCACGCACATTTGCCCCGTGTTCGAGGAGTACGCTCTGCCACATTTGACCAGACGGTTGGATATAGCCGGACGCGATATTACGATGTATCTAATTAAATTGCTGCTGCTGCGCGGCTACGCGTTCAATCACTCGGCCGATTTTGAGACGGTACGAATGTTGAAGGAGAAACTATGTTACATCGGTTACAACATAGAAACCGAAGAGAAGTTGGCTCTTGAAACCACTGTATTAGTAGAATCCTATACCGTAAGTAAAATATTATTATACGTATACTGTAATTTTATTAATATTTAAGTAATTTTCACTAAGATATACAAATCGTTGTGAATATTTTAGCTTCCTGATGGGCGTGTGATCAAAGTGGGCGGTGAGAGATTTGCGGCACCGGAAGCGCTCTTTCAGCCTCATTTGATTAATGTCGAGGCGCAGGGAATAGCCGAGCTGGTATTTAGCACAATTCAAGCGGCTGATATCGATATCAGAAGCGAGCTATACAAGCACATCGTTCTGAGCGGCGGTAGTACAATGTATCCGGGGCTTCCATCGAGGCTTGAACGAGAAATGAAGCAGCTTTATCTTCAAAGAGTATTAAAGAATGATATCACTAAATTGAGTGTAAGTGTATCATAATTAATAGTACTAATATATATGTATACTGCAGATGCCTGTACTACGTACTAAATTTTTTTTACAGAAATTTAAAATAAAAATTGAAGACTCACCTCGGCGTAAGGACATGGTTTTCATGGGTGGTGCTGTATTAGCGGAAATAACGAAAGACCGTGATTCCGTGTGGATAACGCGGGAGGAATACGAAGAAAAGGGTCTTAGTGTATTAAAGAAATTAGGCTCTTACGAATCATAAGGAAAGTCATAGTAATGTAGGCTACGAAATTTTTAATGAGCAATCGAGTGTTTTTTATACTTAAAAAAAAAAACGTCGTTCTTGAGAGTTAGACTTGCGCCGCAGTTTTATGATTTGTTATGTAATTGTAAAAAGGTACTTTAAGAGAAGTACTTTAAAAGACTTACTAGCTGTTTGATACTCTAGTAAACTAATGTACTCTTTGATTAAACGTGATATAATTTCAAATAAGTACGGCAAAAGATGAAGGATTTCGAAGAAGGTACAGTCGAGTATCATGGTTCCAGTAAAATATTGAATGTGAACATTAAATATTAATTTAATAAAATCGTGACTTCGTCATATTTCGGATAGTTTTCGAGTGAAATACTTTCGTCAATCAGGTATGAAAACGATGTTGCATTTAATGTGTATTTATAGCTCTCAGGTAAATGTTCAACATATCGATTAAGTTTTATTGTTACTTACGTGATACCTGATGAAAAAACTTCATTCCTATTTCCTTGTATTTGTCATACTATTCTCTAAAAAAAAGGTGTAAATACAATTGAAATTGTAAAAACGATTTCATTCGATGTGAAACACTATCTGCCTTTCCATTACGGTAATATGTAAAGAAAAAACCGCAAGCATGATCGGTGCGTGACTTTACATTTAAAGTCCCTATTTCATATGCATACATGTTATGAAACATGAATTATACGTAATATAAGTGAAAATAGCCATTAATCTGTTGTTGATTAAAAACTGTTTGAAATTAAATAGTTAGATTTGTATATATGGAATGTTGAGATATTTACAACTTTTTCTTATTATAAGCAACAATGCATAGAATCATAGAATGAAAACATAAAATTTTAATTATACGTGTATCGCAAAATATTTTACAATACAATGATTCCAATTTGGTTCTCATATCATACTTGTTTATGTGCTCATTATTGTCACACTCACATGCAGGTCTGCGATCTTTTTAATTTCAGTCAATTATTACCATTAATTATACTTTATATATAAGTATACATATATTATAGTTATTTCACGCAACACAAAAAGTTTTAAGATATGCATTTACTTTTGGATATTCTTTCGTAAGGTGTATTGTACAGATAAATGTAATTTTTTACAATTATTTTCTATTTTTACTAAGTCATATTATTACTTTCTATAAGAAGAAATATTTGCTCCTCTTTAAAGAATCATAATTGAAGATCATAAATCGGACATTTATTATGCGAGATTTAATATTTTAAAAAGTTATGCAAGAATTGAATTTTTTGTTAAAATTACCTCGTAAAATACATAAATTAAAAGATTATTTGAGGGAGAGAATTTTGTACACTGTATATATAATTTCTTATGTTTCGTTTATTGACAGAAATGAATTTGTTTCACCTATTTCATGCTCACCTTCCTGTGCTCTTTTTGTACGAGAATGTATGAGATGAAAGGTTTGACGAATGGGCACGATGTGGAAATGATTATTTTATAATAAATCTACAACAGTCTTTATTACGTTTTTCCATGTGACCTTTATATCGCATAGCAATGTACACGTTTTTATGTCCGAATAAAAATAACAGTACAATCTGGTATTATACAATTCAGCGTTTAATTAGATTGTAATGTGTAACAAGAGATAAATGTATCCAATTTTCGTTAAAGATTTGTACAATTGGATTTTGCGACAACGTTCTGTATGACAAATATAACAGGCTGTTATTTGAAGAGAAAAAAAAAATAGTCTGTAAACGGTGCTGTAGCCACGCGTGCTTCATCGAAGTCGTTTTTTTTTTTCAAGTGTATATAATTGCTATACACTCACTTATATCATAAATGGCTTTTAACATAACGGTTCGTCTCCCCCCCCCTTCTGCATTCGCAAGCTATATAAGTCGATTATCTTAAGCAAATAAAAAAAGAAAAGGTAATATACAAAACGGTATCACTTACGTTGTAATGGCCGTTCTACAATTCCTACAGTATGTAACAATACAAACTTGTTTTTACAGTAATCACGTGAAGACACTTCGAGATAGTGAATAAGGAATTGGATGGAAAACATTGAAGTTCTTTTCTTTTTCTTTCTTCTTATCGGTCACATTCAGAATGTGATCGGCTTGTTCTTGCATTGATCGATACAAAAGTTCGTGAAACGCTTAAGGAACTTTGGATACTCCCTCTTGTAAACGGCCCGTAAAACGGCTGCCGGGGCCCATCCACCCGGATTTACTGAAATTCAAATCAAATTATATATACGCATGAAAAGAAACGAATGAAACGGCGATTAAATTATTGAACATCAATATACTCACCAACTGAACAGTACGTTATTTTACACGTAATGTTCTCCCTCTTTATTTCCTCTTCGTCTTTCGGGGGATCGATAAATGTTTGGCATACGAGACAAACCGTCAGATAAACTCTCACGCATTTACCCCCATTTGGCTGCAACGATTAATTTCACTTAGCAACTTGCTGTAACTTGTTCTAATAAACGAAGAAACTTCTGCATGAAACATATAATACATACCGGATGATCGGGATGTTCAGTACTGTGATTGCAGACTATCCACAGATCGTGTGCGTCGCGATCCTGATCATCGGACACCCGGCGGATGTGCGACCAAAACAACGCGTCGCGCTGGCTCGCCGGCCAGATACGTTTGTGCGTTTGCAAAAATAACAGTGTGTCCTTGGAAATGTTCTCGACGATCGCCATGTCCTCCAAGGTGGCTTCCCAACCACTCCTGTATTCGGGACTGAAGAATATCTTGCAGACCTCGTGACCAGTCACCCCTTTGACGACATGACACGCTTTGAGAGGATCTACGACCAGTCCGTCGGCCTCCTCCTCCCGCCGGTACATTCGCATATCACCGTCTTCGGCAAATAATTGCCAGCCACCCGCTCCGCCTACGCCGAGCCGAGCGTAATGCAGCTGCTCCATCGTAATTTTCTCTATCTACAAATTGGCAATAAGAAATAATCAAAAGATGTAAGTGGTTCAATTATACCACAAATATGATTAAAAATAACTGTTATTTAGAAATTAATTAATCATCGATCAAAAATTTATGTTAAAATTCTACACACTATTGTCGTACAGAAATTAAATTACAAATATATATTATCACATGTTGCCACAAAAAAAGAACATTAAGAAAGCGATTTAATATCCTTTTATTTAATATTTATTTTACTTTTTTGGATAATAATTATTAATGAAAGTACATTCTCAATAACAATAAGAATAAAATCAGAGACATGCAAAAGAGATGTAATTACCTCTGGCCATAACCTGTGCGTAGACGCTGTTGTGGTGGGGGACGTCAAAATTGAAACAGATTTCTGTTTTAAACGATCCCTTAATTGATTCTCCTCCTCGATTTTGTCCAGACCCGTCTCGACGGCATCGTAAAATTCTTCATCGCAAAGAGCGCTGTGCGGACCTTCCTTAAAAATAAAGTTTCAAAACGTTATTGAAAAAAAGTTACATAATTTTAATGCTTACTTATCTCTGTGGATCCTAATTTATAATTCACATGATATAATACATGACATAATACATGAACTCATAAAGTAAAACTCTATACACATTTAAATATCACTATTCTATATACAATTAAAAACTCACATTATAAAACTTTATCTTTATCTTCATTTTTCTATTATTAAAATTTATAATAATAAAATTGAAATAATACACAGATATTTAGATGAGAAGTAAATACATAAGTCTGTACTCCTTAGTAGTCTGGAGGATACTAAGCAGGCAAAAGATTTCCAAAGTAGTGACCTAATTCATAATTGCGAAATATAGTCAGAAATTCCTCTTACTTTCTAACACATAGGCGCTACTTATGTCATCTACAGAGAAATTCAATTACGATGTCGTAAAGAATTTTTTATAAATGAGTAACTAGAAATATTATCTTCGTATAAAAGTACTTGTAATATAATAAAAGATTCAAGAATTTGGGAAAAAAGTAATAATTTACCTTTGTACACATATGTATATATCTATATACGGATAAAAATATAGAAAATAAATATTTTGATGAATTCTTATCATCAAAAATATCAACAAAAAATGTTAGTTTCTCAAAAATTAATAATTATACATAACAATTAACTTCAAAAACACCTTTAGCACGAGATATTTTTCCAATGACACTCCTATATGAAATACAATTGATCAATTTCATGTAAGTTGGTTCATATCTCTTTAGTATTTTCGTTATCACAATATTAATAGTTATATAAGTGATAGTTGTGTACGTGCTGTTAAAGTGTTATATAATGTAGTGGACAAACAACTTAAACAGATAGATTTGTCCATATTGAATAAACATAAGCATTAGAAGTTTTATAACCATATTGAGCAAAAGTATTTTTTTAATTCTTAAATTTTTTCTTGTTTTTAATTCTATTATGACGACTTATCGCGTATTTAAATAATTCTAAATACTTGTATCCGCTTCTATAGCCATATATTATGAAGCCACGTGTTATGGAGCCACATGTTATGGGATCACGTGTTACCCCAAATTTTCTATTTTGTGAAATTCTTATTTTATTTTGGGATTTTATAATTCTGAATACAAGTATTTAGAATTTTGTTTTAGGATTTTATAATTCTAAATACAAATATTTAGAATTATATAAAATACAAGTATTTAGAATTTAAAAATTTGGGGCAACACGTGGCTCCATAACACGTGGCTCCATAACATGTGGTTATAGAAACGGATCGAATTATAATCAGCGGATCTCGAGTTCAATTCTGACTTTCACCCCATATACGCCACGATTTATTTTTTATTTATTTATTTCGCGTTTTTCGGCTTCAAACCAAATACTTCGACTTACAAGAGGTTGATTAAAGAATGAGGTTGTGTACGAAATTGTAATTCATTTTCGGGAACAATACATACATATTTAAAACAGAAATCACGAGACAATGAAAAAAAAAGAGAGAGAGAGAGAGAACCAACCTCGTAATCAGGACCTCCGTGTATAACGACCCTAGGTCTCGGAGAGCCGTTGTGATGCATGGCAACTTGATCTTTCAGAACTTTATAAAGTTCTTGCAACTTCCGTTTCTTCTCAACTTCTTTCTCCCATCTACGGCGCCATGCATCCTCCCGCTGCACCATCAATTCGACACAGTGTTGCAAGGTTGCCAACACCCCTTCGCTGGTGGCTTTAAATGTTATAGCTTCCCCTTTGAAGTCCACCGATTGTTCAGCCGGATTGAACATTGTCTCAATTTTCTTTTCTGTGAAATTTATCGCAATAAAATTAATTACATTAAAGCTTTTTCAAAATATTTCGTGTAACAATAGGCCTGTTTAGGCCTGTCCTTTTCAGCTGAACTTCTTGCACGGTTCATCTTTTTCTCTCCAACGTGAAAAGAAAAAGAGAAAAGATGAACCGCGCGCAGAAGTTCAGCTGAAAAGGACAGGCCTTTTGTTTTAACTGTACTTGTTGCACAGTTCATCTTTTCTCCTTTTCTTTACAACGTGAAAAGAAAAAGAGGAAAGATGAACCGTGCAAAAAATTCAGCTAAAACGAACAGGCCTAATTAAAAATTTCAGTTACATTTAAAAATTATAAATTACGGTTACATTAAAAAATTGTGACATAAATTTATGTCATAAATCTATTCCAAGTATTTGGAACAAGAGATAGAAATATGAAGGGTTGTTTACGAGGTAAAAGTTATTACCTTCTTTGGAAGTATTCTTGGCATTTTCCGCACAGTTATCAAAATACTTCTGCAGAGTATCGATCTGCTTGATCAGAATGTCCCTGAAGGTTTCAATTTCGGCCAACTTTTCCTTCAGCCCTCTAATGCCGCGCTTAGTAAGACTACCGGCGCTCGTTGTCGACTGCGTATTCGACACGAGCGAAATGGCACTGCCGTGTCGTTTTAGACTATTCTCGCTCCCATAGCCGGATTCCGACTGTTTTGTGGCAAACAAAGATTGATGAGCATGGTGCACAAATCTAACTCGGTAGAGTTAATTTCTAATTTTCATTTATAAATAATGACCAAATCTCATAAAAATATATGTAAATAATAACAAAAATTGCGGGATTAATATCAGCAAATTAAATCTTAGCACATCTTATGAAAATAATCATACAATTTATATTAATTACACAATAATCATGCAATTTATATTAATCAAAGTAAACGAAAGTAAATTACATATCATTACCTTGTAAGACTTCAAGACGTCCACCCATCGCTGTTTCTCCTCCGGACTGTTTGCCCTTAAATACCAAACCAAGCAATCGTTCACGGACACGTCGAATCTACATTCGTCAAACTGGTGTGCCTGTTAAAACGGATAACGGATAACGCAACTGCTCATTGGCCTGACCTGCCGTATCATGTTTACATTGTCGAACGTATTTATAAGTATTTATATAAAACATATCTCGACCTCTCACCTTGATATTAGCTTTGTACAGACTAATCGAGCCACGACACCCGTACCCGCTGTCCTGCTCGGATTTGTAATAAGACAAAGTACCATCTTTGAGTACAATAAATCTAGTTTGCCAGCCATGTATGTAATTTGTCCATTTGGATAGTGTACCCTGAAGTTCCGGAACTATGACCCCGTCGGAGTCGTCGTCGTCGCCGCCGTCGATCTCGGCGTCAACGATGCACTCGGCGTCCTCGTTACCGAGGCCCCGTGGTGTCTCCACCACTTCATCGGCCATTCTTTAACGGGTTCTTCGATCGCGATATCTCTCACGGACTTAGCACTCGGCTGGGGGAGCGCTTCCTGACATCGCCTGGAAGGCGATTCCGAGGGGGCTGCGCGAGCTCGGTGGGGGCCGATTCGGTTCGCGTGACAAACGACTCCGGTCCGGGGCGAGGACTTGCGAGACGGGGGTCAGCGGGTTGTCACGGCGTGATAGAACGCCTCAAAACATCGCCTCTGACAACTGTCGTACATAACCTGTACGCCAAAAATCCCTTATCAGGAGACGTCAATCGAGGGGGGGAAGCGCTGGTATACTACACGTCTACACGTATGTACGCGTTAAAAGTGATGAGGTGGGTAGGAGGTAGGAGGAGGGAGGGTCATCAAATCGCTATAGTATAGGTTAGTATATATATATAGTTTTAGTCGTGGTACATACGTGCCTTGCGCCGCGGAGAGTAATCTTCTTCCTATATCCTATAAATATAGCCCTCAAGCTCAAGCAGTAATGCCGAATTGTGCTGAATGCTCCAAACACGGCCACGCGGAGAGTATAAATGACTGCGCGTTCGGCAGAGAAAGCAGTTTAGTAAGCGTTTATAGTGATTCTTTCATTCTTTGTTACGATTGGTTTCTATTTTATATTTAGATCCAACGAGGAACTAAAAGCAAGATATCCAATGAGCATTTCGAACGTCAAAACGTCATATCCGTCGCACTGTGGAACGCGACGGATATGACGGATAGCAACGAAAGTTGACCAAATTTGAAGATTTGTTGCACGCGACGATTCAGGGATAATGCAGGCGAAATAACTGATGAATAAATGCAATTGGTAATAATAATATATCAGCGATATTATATATAACGAATTAAAAATGTTACTTCAAACAGTTCTATGGTTGAATTAATCTCGCCAATTTCAAGTTAACGAATCGACGTTTAATCGCCTGTGTATACAATTTATGTCCATTTGTCAATACAGATTAACTTTAATCTCGAAAATTAATTTTAAGTTACTCAATTTTTATCTCTTTCTAATTTTGAATTATAAAAAATAAAAAAAAAATAAGTAAAACCGAGATTAATATATATATATTAGTAGAAATTTAGTAAAATTGAAATAAATCTTTTATGGCTATAAGGACGCGCGATCAAAATCAATTTTTTAAAAATGAATGCGATAAAATTTTGAGTTGAGAAAGTACAAAAGAAAAGCTGCGTGAATCCGAATTTATATATATAATTTTATATATGTATATATAATATATATATATGATTATTATTATTAGTAATAATTTATACAAATACTTTAATATCCTTATGTGGTAGTGATTACTTCCCACATTGCACATTCGAGAAGTTCTACATACAAGGAGGGACAAATCAAGAGACTTATCTCTCTCGCGCTCGACTCATTATCCTATAGTTTTACGTTGATGGATTTTACTGCCGCTCTCTTATCGAGACGTTACAGTTATTAACATCGTACCTCGATGGACTTTGAAATTCGGGCATTTGAACATCTATGTCCCTCCTTTAACGCGTGTTGTGGCGCAAAGTAAAAGTCACGACGGTACAGCGAATCCTTAAATTTTTTTTTGTCTTTAAATAGCTTAGAAAATATTGTAAGTTCGGTTACGGCTAGGTGTGTCGCGGATAACTTTGATCGTTGCATGTATTCTTTAAAATCTAGTTTAATAGAAAACGCGTCGCATCCCTCCTTCTATCCCACGACGTACACGTTTAATTCTGCTTAGTATATATACACGGCGGGGTGGTACCGTCATCTCTTGGCACCGGAGTACTTAAAATTAGGCTACCGTTTCTTTCCTTTCTTTATTATTTTTTTTTGTTTTGTTTTTAGTCGGTCATTGGGCGTGAACGTTACTTTTTAAACATCGACAATACTTCGAATAAGGTTCGGAGAGAGGATCGCAAACAACAGTGAAGACGTACGGGTCCTCCGATACGTCTCTCATACCTCTTATACGGTGCCTTCTATCGAACTGTGCGATTAACGTCAGTAGAAATGTATGTATACTTCGGTGAGAATACAGAACGAGAGAAAAGGAAAGGGACGTTTCCGCTGTATCGCGCTTTTGAAAAATACTCTTACGACTAGGAAAGGAATATACGCATTAGCATCGAATCTTTCGATAAATCAGTCGTCGATACGGTTAATACTTTCCTCATCGATTTCGTCTATTCTGTATAACGTTTCTTGGAATTTTAAGTAGAGTCCAGTCTTCGTCACCACGTAAGACAAGATATATTCCTAATGATTATTTCGGTGAAACGTGAAAAAGATTCGCTTTCAGCTTGAAATCAATACTAATGTACATACATCAAGATTGTTACAATCTCCATGTCATATCAGATTCAAACAACGATTCAGAGGACATGGCGTTGCTAAATTATTTCCTGTACCGATAATACTTGGATAAAATTACCTAGTTTTTACAGTCGCATCACACACACATTGTCTCTTATTACAAAACAGAGATAATTCTCCTTCAGAACTGAAATAATTATAAAATATAAAACACTATATATTGCAGATAAATGACATTTGAAAAATAAAAGATTACTATTATGATCCGATCTTTTAGATTAGATTTCGTAGACTGCGACTGAGAATGAAGCTAGCACTCACACAATTAATTACACCTCGAGGAAATCTTTCAATAAAGTAACGCGACGCTTTTCCGCAATGTCCATTTGATTCTCTAGATCTCCTCGATCCGTTGTTTCCGCTCGTTCGATCTTCCACGAGAGATTCTCTATTTCCGCCTCTAATTGAGCTTGTTGATACTCGAACTGTTAAACAAGATGATTCCATTTGTCATCAGTTATTATATGTATCGTCGAATATTATTATTATTATCGCGAGATCTTACCAGTTCTTTACGCGGGCCAGATTCCATGTAATAGGCATACGGATACGTGTATTGCAAGGTGTAACGGCAACGCGCTAAGAGCGACGCCGCCTCGAACAGATGTTGCCAATCTATCCACGTACCGCTCGCATTCATCACCTTATTGTTAATTCTCATCTTAATTCCCTCCAACGTTTGCTCCTCCAACTTCAACGACTTGCTATGATTCTCCCACTGGAAAGGAAAAAAAAACATAAGGCGTTGCAAGCGGAAAATATAAAAACTGGAACGGACGTACGGTCTAAGGGCTAAATTACCGCGAAGGACTTACTCGCTCGTAATAGTGAAGGTACTTCTTAGGACTTACTCGCTCGTAATAGTGAAGGTACTTCTTGAGAGCTTCTCTCGCTTGCGCGTGAACGCTCTCGTGCGCGATGTTCGGATTCTCCTTGTAACGCGAACACTCGTAGTACTCGCTGCCGTGTGCTTTCCAATCTCCAAGGCACATCCAACAGAAGTCGTGCTTACAATTGTAACATTGCATGTGGTTGCAGCCACCGTTCTTCTCTATGCAGATATGACATTTTGGACACTGCAAACAGATTTCACGATGCATTGAGTATCTCCGTACAGATTTTACGATGCATCAAACATCTCCCGTCACGTTTCATAAGCTGCTCTCGCGGGCAGCAACGCGAGATACTCACATCTTTGGTATGAGCACTAATGTAATTCGCCGTCTCGGAATCATCCGCGCATTTCGTCAACCATTTCCTAATTGTACCGCAATCGGTAGGTGCATGGTAATCCATACCACATCGGAAGCTGGAATTACAAAAAAAGTGTTTTCGCTCGCTCTTGTGACAATAAAACGTTCGGCGTATATCCGAGATTGCTTACCAGAATACAGTTTTACACGATGAACACATGACTCTCTTCGCTCGTTGTTCCTTCGAGCGCAAAACTATTTGGCAATTTGGACCGGGACAAAATCGTAGCTGTGGATGAGACTTGACGTAATCGCGGAAGGCAAACTGCTGATACCTATCTCTCATGTTAGGCTTAGTAAGTAGGGAAAGGACAAAGTCCTCTGGAGCTAGGACGTCGCAATCTTGTGCCATGCAGCTTATACCTGGGCAAGGCGAGGGATTACGGCCGATAGATGTTTGAAAATCAGCAGGGTAAACCGTAAGTGAAATCTGAACGGAACGACATTACTTACCGGTAGATATACCTTGAGTTATTTGTACTTCAAAATGCATACACCAACAGTCTTTGCAAAACGAGTGTCCGCACGTGAGCGTAGAAAATCTGTCCGCTGGGTAAACCGTAATGCAGACCAAGCACACGCCGCCCCGCTGACTCTTCGTTCCTGGCACTTGTTCCGGGGTAGGCTTAATCTTCGAACTGATCAATAAACTGGAAGCATTGGTACGGTACTTTGTGACGATATCCTGGGACGCCCAGTTGTGCGCGTGCAGCAACACCTTGGCCAGGGACGGCGTGACGTGGAGGCTATTGCTCAACACCTCCACGCTCTCGTTCAGAAGCCGCTCCACCTCCTCGACTCGCAGGCAGTCGTACACCGCGTACTCCGGGTCCCTCCTGTTCTGCTCGGGGTCCACGTCGTTGTCCACGTCGCCGCCCCCCCACGGCTGGATGCTGTAATAGTCCTCGTAGCCCGTGTCCCCGCAGTCGGAGTCCGAGCAATCCATCTCGCTGTCATTCTCGCTTGACATCTGCATAGAAAAACATTACGCGCGTTAGTCGGTAGGCTCGTTAGATCGTCTCTCACGCTGGAAAACGCTAAACGTGACGCCGAGACGAGAGTCTCAGGAGGCACCGAGGGAAGCACCTTTCGGCATAACCTTTACGACCGTGAAAGTTCGAGTCTCTCGCGATCCGAGAACGACGAAACGGCTCGAGTCGCGACGAGCTAAACGGGACACGAGGGGACGGGATCCGAATTGTCGGGCACAGTCGGGCACGGGAATTCACGTTGGAACCTGGAACCCCCTCGGCGGACAGGCACGCGACACGCGTAAAGAGAACGCTCTCTCGTCGCCGAGCGTTTCGGGCGCGCGTCGAGGGGAGAAAGCTTTCGCGGATTTACCATTCGCGTATTTTTTTTCTCTCGCAATCTGCCTGTCCTTTCGAGCTTTCTCTCTCTCTCTCTCCCTCTCTCGCGCTGCTTCGACAAACGGCAATGCCGTCGCGTCGCGTGGATGCGCGACGTGAGGGTGCGTTGTGACGGTTTCGTGCGCGAGCGAACGCGACGGGGGGACCGGACCGTCGTTCTCTATTTTTTTTTCCTTTTTTCCTTCGGAGAGAGAGAGAGGGAGGGAGGGAGACAGAGAGACCCACCTTCTCGATCGGCTCAATCGGCTGCGCTTGCCCGGGTTATCAAGAAAGATGCATTTATGCGCCCGTTTCCGCGTGCGAGCTGACCCGTGCACGGATCGTCGAAAGGGGGGCTGCTGCGCGAGCGAATTATCCTCCACCGGCGGCCGCGTAACTGTTGTAAGCGAGCGGACGCGGACGGAGCACGAGCACGCGAGAGCGCATCGCTTCTCCCTCTCTCCCCCTCTCTGTCTCTCGACGATCTCTCCCCTTTCGCGCGCGCGCGCGCGCACGCGTACGTACGCGTGTGAGATCGTATATGTATGTACATACGTATACACATATGTTACACAGATGCTCCCCATTTAACCGCATAGCAGATAAGAACGTCAAAGTCACCTGACGCGCGGCGAAACAGCTGAGCGCGATCGTACGATTTGGGAATACGGAGAACCAGCTCCTCTCGCCGATTGTTATATGTATTTTCGCGTTACCTCCTGCTTTTCCGTCCTGAAAGAAATAATGTTACATATATTGCGGGATTAGAGGAGGAAGGGAGGAAGAGGGAGGAAATCGTCCGGGAAGCGATTAATGACGTCACACGGCTCTGCCTTGGGTTAATTCTTGGTATAATGTGATTCTCAGTATAGCTGGCTTCTTCCTGGAAAAGCGCTTAGGCAAATGCGACTAATCTAATTGCGATGAACCGATTCAATTGATGTTTGTCCGTGTATGCATGATATAATTATATGAAATATATAGAATATCTAATATTTGTTAATTAGTCAATTGCAATGCAATCGTTTCAAATCTTTGGTTGAACCGTACAAATTATTTTCGGGACGAACTATCGTCCCATTAGAAGCTTTCAAGAAAACTTCTCTTGCACTTCTTGATTATTTTAACGCCCGTTGCCTCCTAATTGAGATCTAAATAAAACTTATCACAATATAACGTCCATTTCTACCGATGTAGATTAACTTTAATCTCGGTCCAACTTACTTTTTATCTTCTTGTAACTCTTAGAACGAGGAAAACATGAAAAATAAAGTTAAACCAAGATTAAAATTAACCTGCGTTCGTAGAAATGTACGTAGACGACTAATTCCAATTAAAACCATCCGAGGAATGCGGAATTCATTGAACGCGACGCAATTAAAATCCTTCGATTTCTCGAATCGTTCGGCAAACGAGTTATCGACCGAGATCGACCTCGGTAACCCTCAATCTGCATTATCCGCGGATTTCTACGACGCCGCGACGCAGAGGTTTCCGCGGTCACGTTCAGATGGCGACACCGCCGCGGTTCGCCGCCCCGTACCGTTCCTCTTTGTTCTCTCCTTCTTCCCCATTTCTTCCCGATCCGTTCTTTCCCTCATTCCCTCTCCTCGCCGCGCGGGGCACGGGGAACGGGCCGCGAGGAGAACCATTGGCCGCCTCGCCCACCTCCTCGCCCCACCCCGCCCCCCCCTTTCTCGCCGTCTCTCTTCGCCCGCTTCGCCGCGCCGCACGACTTGAAAACTCTCGCGTCCGTCGCGCGACGCGGTGCGCCCCGCTTGAAATCCGCGGGACCGTCAGTCCGTCAATCGCGAGTCTCTCACCGTCGCTGAACGTCACGATCGTCGCGCGAGTGCGCGCCGCGGCCCACGTATACGTACGAGCTCCCCGGCGCCGCGCCCCGTCGAGACGCGCGAGCCACGCGATCGCCGATTTAAAAGAGTATCGGCAGCGATCATGCCCCGGTTGCGTACGCGCGACGGTGAACCGCGATCCGCTCGACTCCGTGCCGAACGCCTCGCACGCGCGCGCACCGAGTGAAACGTTAAGTGTTTATAAGGAAAGCCGCGCTATTTCTCTCCTTCTCCTGTACGTGCGCGCGCGAGCATTTCCGTGCACACGCCGGTCGGCGCGTCGTCGCGAAGAAGACGAAAGGAAAATTTTCAACGGGACGCGAGTCCCGAGTCCCGCGGGTTCTCGCTGGTACCGGAAGTGTCGAAAAGTGCCGGAAGCGATTCCACTGAGGCCGGAAACTGGCGAGGAACTCGGCAACGTAAATCGTAAACGGAGGTGCGTATACTTGGCTCTCGGATATACGAGATTTTTCATCTCCTCGTCTTCGTAGCTCCAACCGTGCTGGTTATTTCATTTTCAATCGCTCAATATTTGGTTCGCGATGCGTATATACGAATGGTAGAAATTGAAATGCTCTCGCCTAGCGAGATAGAAACAATTTTAAATTGCAACAAGTAGGCGACGCGAAACAATTCTCTTCTGAAACCCGAAAAGTCTGTGCATTCTATAAATTGCAAATTTACAACGTGACGTTTTATTTGTAGGGAGAGCGAGATTCGAATTTCACACAAAGAGGATACGTTTATCGTCGAATCTGTTGCGCATGTTAATCAGTTTCGATGGAGATGACGTCGGAAAAGAGTTACACAAAAATGGGATGGAAAATGTAACGAGAGTTGTAATCATTTTCTTAATTTTTTTCATGATCCTCTTATAATTATTCGATTTGTCGAAATTAATCGTAATTAAATACAATTATCTTGTATTACATAAGTAATAATTTACTATTAATATTTTATTACTGCTATACAAACGATGTAGTCTGAAATTTTCTCACAAAGTTCGCCGCACCGTAAAATCATTCTCGCGATAATTTCGATTGTTATTGTTAGCCGCCAACGCGCGTCTCGCGCCGTTCCCCCTTTTCAACTCCGCGAGGCCGGAAGTACTCACACGTTAAAAACATCCTTTTTTCAGCGAAAGTCACGTATGTTCCTA